CTAGCCCAAATTAGGAGGTCCATCGGGCCCAATCCATGATGGGAGGCTTGGATCCAATAGGTATCTAGAGAATATGCCAAGANTATTTAATGTTCTCATTCATGATACTTAGGGTACGAAAATATAATTAAGCTTGAAAATTAAATAACCATTATTAACATTTGATATCGATGTATGTATAATAGTTAAGAAACAAGCAAAATATTATATGGAGATTATGTTAATGAGAAACCAAACAATAAAATTCAAGTAATATCGTTATAAATAACATTAAAAAAAGAAATAATAATAATAATAAGGGTTATATTATGCAACTCTTTATAATAGTGTTATCTAGGGGTAATAACAAAGATATCGTACCTTAACTAATGGCCTGCAAATTTGATCTTCAAATATTGTGAAAGATAGCCGTGCCAAGAAACTTGTTGAAGGCAAGAAGAAATAGTTAATTAAGTAAATATTATTAATTCTTTTTAAGAAGTGAAATTAGAGCAAACAACATGCTAATTACATATAACAAATTAAAAAGAAATTTGATCAAGAATAGATGACCAACACAACTCTTTAGAATGTAATATGATGTACGTTCAAAGTAAAAAGAAACGAATGATTGAAAGAAATTAAAGGAATTATACCTGAAGTAATTAATGGATATGCAGCTTCAATCTTCAAATATATGTATGAAAATGGATTGATGGCAACAAAGTTAATTGTTTGGAAGAAGTGAAACCAAGTTATTGTAGAAAGATATCAGTCTCTGGAAATACAAGGAAAACCAAATAAAAATAACAAAAAGAAAAAGAATTCAATGAAGAATAGATGAGGAAAGGTATCAAATGAAGCATGTTTCGTAATCAAGAAAAGGAAGGAATGTTTATTGAAGTAAAATTCTAAACTTAAGGTTAAAAGGAATTTGATTTTTCCAACTTTTCGGTTTTATTTTCAATCAAAAGAAATGTTAGATATCTTGTACATACTTCTTATGCTTTAGATAAACATGAATTAAAAATAATTTTAAAATTATTAAGATGCAGTCTGGAAATTGGAAATAATATTTAAAAACTGCTTTTCAGAGATAAAAGAAATGGATGAAAACATAAATATTCTTTAGATTTTAATTGAATTCTAGGATTATCGCAAGATGTTTGACAAATCTCCTTTCTTCTATTAATAGTATCTAAATACGAAACCCTTTTATTAATGTTCCAAGATTTAATTCAAAACAGTATGCATATTGTCACATTACACTATTAATTTATTTAAGTTATATTATTGTTTTCATCCTTCAATTTATTAAGCATTGTCGGAGACCATAGCTTTTAATAATTTTTAAATGATTTATAAAAATAATATGGAATAAAAAAGAAATTGTTTTAAGTTGGTAAAGTGATCAGAGGGGATAAAACATACTTTTGAATTTAAAATTGGTTCGATCCCTAGCATATTGCTAATAACAGGGTGTTTCTAATACTTTGAATACTAATTAGCGTGCACACACACCACCACGCATAATATAATATATATATATAGATAATATAATATATATATATAATGTATGATATTCTTTGAACGTTTAGAAATTAAAATTAAAAATGGGTCTCAAACCGGGGGTATTAATGTTCTCATTCATGATACTTAGGGTGCGAAAATGTAATATATATGATATTCTTTGAACGTTTAGAAATTAAAATTAAAAATGGGTCTCAAAAGGGGGTATTATGTTTCATTCATGATACTTAGGGTGCGAAAATGTAATTAAGCTTGAAAATAAATAACCATTATTACATTTGACATTGCTGCATGCATAATAGTTAAAAAAGCAAATATTGTGAAAGATAGCTGTGTCAAGAAACTTGTGTGAAAGCAATAAGAAATAGTTAATTAAATAAATATTATTAATTCTTTTAGAAGTGAAATTAGAGCAAACAACATGCAATAAAATATAACAAATTAAAATAATTATGATCAATAATAGATGATCAACACAAATCTTTAGAATGTAATATGATGTATATTCAAAGTAAAAAGAAATGAACGATTGAAAGAAATTAAAGGAATTGTACCTGAACTAATGGATATGCAGCTTCAATCTTCAAACATATTTATGAAAATGGATGATGCAACAAAGTTAATGTTTGGAGAGAAGTTATTGTAGAAAGGTATCAGTATTTGGAAATACAAGGAAAACCAAATAAATAGTAGGATCATAACAAAAAGAAATAGAATTCTTGAAGAATACTGAAGAAATATCAAATGGAGCATGCTTAGTAATCAAGAAAAGAAATGAAGTATTCAAGTAAAATTCTAAACTTGAGGTTAAAAGGAATCCGATTTTTCCAACTTTTCTGTTCTATTTTCAATCAAAAGAAATGTTAGAATCTTGTGCATACTTCTTGTTGTAGATAAACATGAATTACAAATAATTTTAGAAATTTAGATATCTTGTACATACTTCTTATGCTTGGATAAACAAGAATTACAAATAATTTCAAAAATATTATGATGCAGCCTGAAAATTGAAATAATATTAAAAAATTCTTTTCAAAGTTGAAACATAAATAATCTTTAGATTTACTTTTTACAAGTGTTTTTAAAACCAACCTAGCCCAACTCGACCAGTTTAGCTGGAAACGAGGTCTTCATTGGGTTAGCTTACCAATTCAACTGTTCATGGCAAACCCTAGAGAAGAGGACAATGATCAACGAGCAATTGGTGGCGGTGATGTTAGCAGATTTTGAAGAGGAAGGGCCGTTAAGTCAAAAGGTGACAACAGAGGTGATTCGATGAGTGATACAAGTAGAAATCGCAAAAATGTAAAGCAGCAACAATGGTTAGCCAACGATTGTGAGGCAAACAGGGGTAGGTTTAAATGGGTTTTTGGTCAAGACTCAAGAGGCTAAAGGAAGTGTTTGTGGGGATAGAGAGTGTTGTCAACATGATGATGGTGTTTTTACCCAGATCACAAGAGTGCTTTGTTAGATTTTAAAACTATGAGGCCTAATGAGTATTTATTAGGAGTGTTTTTGTTAGATATCAACCTGTTGGATTGATGGGAAAACCAGCCTAACCGGGTCGTTGATTGCTTTGGGTTGAAAACATTGCTTTTTACATTGAATTCTAGGACTATAGCAAAATGATTTATTGAAAAATTTTAACCAAACATGCTTGATAAATTTCTTCTTCTGTTAATAGTATCTCAAGTCCAAACCCTTTCATTAATATTTCCCAAATCTTTTCAAAACAATATGATATGTCATAATATGCTATCAATTTATAAAGGTTTATTTCTTGTTTTCATCATCATTTATTAAGCAATGTCAGAGATCATCACGCAGCCATCGAATGTTCATCTGTATTATTGAAAACTGTGTATGTTTGCATTGGACTAACTATAACCCCAACAAGAAGTACCAAAAGACAAGCCCTGGCCACTAAAACAAATCATACTTTAGTGAAAAACAAAAGCAGCTCTATTTCTGAGAAAAATCCAAGAACACATACGACTCGACTATAATTGATAATTACTTGACAGCTAGTCTCCTTTTTGATGCTGTGTCTTCACGAATGAGTAAAAAGCCAAAAGATGCCACCATTCCGATCAGATACCCTGCCATGGCTCCATAACTCACACAAATCGGCCATCCTGTGAATTGGAAATGAGATCAATCAAGCCTAAATATAAAACAAGCAGCTCAAACAACACATTCATCCAGCAAAGGAACCACAATCCAGCTTTAAAACCAGCCAAGTTGAGCAAATGCTGACAGATAAAACATCATAAGATATATCAAACCTAGATACTATATAGTTAATTTTCCGAAATTATATCCCTATATTATACATAAGCCAGAAGAAGCACAACCAGACAGTCAGAATTTTTTTTAAAAAAAAAAAAAAAAAAATCTACACCATCATTTATTAATTATTAAGGGTTGGTAACAAACCGATGGAACACCTGCCTAGACATGAAGTCAGCAGACTAGGTTGGGGTTCTCATAAGCCCTAAAATGTTCAGATGCAATTTATCATATAACCAATGAAGTGCCACCGATAATATAAAGAACCTCCAAGCAGTCAGCTAAAAATTACTACATGGAGCATCAAATTTCACACCAAAACTATACGCATAACCTAAGAGAGAACCAAAAAAGAACAGACGAGGCAAGCAATAATTGGAGTTGAACTCTATATCAAAATTTCAAGCAAATTGTGCCCAAACAGCTCACAGAAGAAAATACAATTCGGATTTAAATTGGAACAAGTTGAAAGCAAGAGTTAGATTGATAATATGCCATGATCCTCAATAAATGAGCACATAAGTTCATATATAACATGTCCGTTTCATAAGAAATATAGAGAAAAGATATAAAATTTACAAACTGCTTTCAGTTTTAGCCCATTATATGAAGTAAACCGGGAAATAACAACTACCTGCCATGGCCTCTCCCAATCAAGCGGCATTGGCCAAGCGCCAAACCAAGCTCCAATAACAGCTCCCTGCGCTGGTAGACAAAATCATATAACTACAGATCCATTTGGCCAAAGAGTAAATAGATTCAAATTTCACATCAGTGATACAATTTGACCAACACTCAATTCACTGATTTCATTGAGTACATTCTTTTATTGAGCTTCATTAAGTTTAAGAAAAATACAATAAAGTTCTTCATACAACAAGCATGACAGAAAACAGAAACAAAGCTAAAACAAAACACAAATCCTATTACTGTCAATTTGTACTTCTCGTCAGTTTAATGGACGTCTATGGAAAACACTCCAATCAATGGTTGAGGCCAACATGCAGACTCCATGAACAAAATTGAGGGAAGCTCAATTATGATTTCCCCAAGATTGGTACAACACATCACAACCTTGCATGCATCCTAAATCCAGTAATTATTGTGCAATTAATGTCTTGTCAATAAATGACACATATACTACATGAATTAATGCCTAAATACAGAAATAAAGCACCAAAAAATGTGAGAAGGCTTACTTTGTATGTGCGAATATACGTCGCCAATCTTCCCACAATGAACCATATACCGAAGCAGCAGGCACAAACTGCCAGTGCACAAGATAAACATTCAGTAATACATAATAGGATAACACATATGAAGTCTGGTAAAACTCAAATGCAGCTAACTTGTTCGCTCATATATATTGGAGAGTGATAATAATATAAAGAAATTGAACAAAAACTTCTTTCATATAACATTGTGCATTTATATCTGCAATGTATGGAGCATTATATACAGGACATGAGGTTTAATTCAACAGACTTCCAACTATAATTTCTTAGGTATAGTACAGCAGGAAACATTGAAGGAAGTCAGTACTTACAGTGAACAGTGACATTAAAAGAGAATAATCAAAGGTTTGTCATATACCTGTATCAATAAGAAAGAGACACGATCAATTCACATTTTGTAAAAAACTTAATTTTACTAATACAAATAAACATTCATCTACAGTATTTACTGTATTACATTTAATCAAAAATTATCTTGACACATCTCCACAATTTTGAAAAGAAAGTCACAGTTGGATTTGGACAGTTAAAACAAATTTTTAAAGTGAATTCCCCACCCACCTTTATCCATTATATTAAAGTTTTACATTTTATTTTGGAGAAAAGCAAAATTCATAAAGTTTTAGAAGAAACAGGAAAGCCACCTGTAGAAAATGTAGGGGCTTTGTGTACCTGACAGTGAAGAAAGGTGTTGTATAAGGAACTATGAGTGAACCCATTTTGACCTCAACTGTGACTTCTGTTTCCATAATAACAGTAAAAGGCACAAATTTTTATCTACCCTTATTTCACATACTGAATACCCACAGGTGCACCCAAAGCAATAGCTCCTAAAGCATTTACAAGAGCCCCTACAAAGTAGAAGATGGATCAGTTATTTTATATTATGCAGAAAAAACAAAGGGGACAGAAACCCTTGCATAAAAGTAAAGACATACACGAGATGTTAAACAAAACATTTATGATCCTTTTGTTTTACCAAGCGTTGTTACAAGGTAGTGCTACTCTAAACCAAGCTATATTTCTCTAAAAGCTGACACAAGACTGTTACAATATAATCCAAAGCTAGACACATGACTTGGAGATCACTCATTGTAACGGGAAAACATTTCTTTAAGGACCCGTTTATAACCATTGCCTTCCATCTTTAGATTGGATGGACAAAGTAATACACACATGCCACAAATTTGCTTATAAGCATGTACTTCATCAGTTAACTACAAAAACAAAATTATTGAAGCTAACAAAAGTAATGTATATAACAAAAACATTTCCAATAGAAGTACATTGAACCTGCAAAGGCTATGAATCTTCATCAAGCCACATTTAAATGCTCCACAAAAATTTATTATTTAGACTGTATAACAAGCTAATCCAACAATCTTCAAAATCAAATACACAACATTACAAACCAAGGAAATAAAAACTAATATTAATATGGAAAAAAGATATCGTTTCATTCAAAATCTAAAGTAGAATGAACGACATCACTCATTGTCCGTTGCAACATAAGTTCTGCTTTATCTTCAAACTAAATGGAAGAAAACACACAACTGTGCTAAACATTTGTATTTGTACAGATACAAAATCCACAAATAGAAACTATACTAAATAAAACTAGTGAAACAGTATTTAGAAAAGTTAAAAAGAACAAGACAGAATAAAAAGGAGCAACACGAATATCAGACTAACCAACAGGGAGTCCCAGTAGGCCTCGTACCACAGCTTTGAAATACTGTTACAAAAATATAAAGGAAATAAATAAAAAAGCACATAAAAAATCAATATCAAATAACCTTAGGTCTTCAACAATATCAGTGAGTGGATGGGATGAATTTTTATGTAAATCATTACACATTGCATGAAACATCATATTTGTGACATTATTGCCAAATTTGTAGTGAAATATGACTTGTAATATTATAAGTATAAAATGTTCCACAAATAGCTCTAATGCTAGACCAAAATCACAGTGAAGTTACGGTAATAATTTTTTTTCAGATAACATATGACATACACTTATTACATGGATCTGTTAAATAGCCGGCTTTTCTACACAACTTTTAATTTTTTTAAAAGAATCTCAGCCCTTGGATCAAGAATCCAAGAGCTTAGCCGCACTAATAAAGTTACCACCCTAAGAAACTATAAGGTTACCAGCGAACATTAGCAGGCATTTCTTTTTACAAGTTGCTTAAAAGTTGCAAATATAACAGGCCATATTAACCATAAAGTTTCTTTAATTGCAATTATGCACTTATATAAAAACAAATCCAATGGTCAATATCATCCCAGAAACATTACAAGGCAAGTACTCTAGCAAACTGTATTTCAGTAACATTACCACAAGCTTCCATATACATATAAGCATAAACAAGCATTGCTCTTTTATTGCCACATCGTTTGCGCTCATAAAATAAAATTAATTTTTTTTCTTGTACTCTTCCCTACACATTAGGTAGGGAAGAGCACAAATAAAAAAGTTGTAACGTTTTTCACATGAAAAAAATCCCAAAAACGAGCAAATAAAATCATTAACAAAAATAATGTGAATTACCGAGGATTTGTCGGGATTTTTTCGAAAATAGCTGTAAAGAAGAATAACAATTGGGCTCTCGATAACCTAAATTACAGTGTTGAAACAAAATTAATCAGTAACCAAGATTATAAATTTGACGGAAAAAGGTGAAAGAAAACAAGAGTACAGTACCCAGATCAGACGGAGAGTGCCCGAAGGATGAGAGACGAGATTGATGGAATAGATGTTGTGAGCTACCCAGAATCCGGCGCCTAAGCCAACTCCACAAATCAGGTGGACTAAAAATGTTTGTAGTGGAGACACCGAATGCGATGAAGAAGAAGAAAGAGGACTTTCAGTGGATGAAGGTTTCACCATTTTTGCTTTTTTCGGAATTTGAGAATGAAGTTGTAATGTTTATATATATTGGGCTAAGTCGGGCTCAGCATGACTCGAATTTCGTCATGCATTTTGGGGTTAAATGGGTGCAAGATCCCTGCTAGTATTAATGGGCTCGTACAACTTGGATTTCATTTGCTTAGAAAACCCAAGGGAATTATCCTTTTTTTTTTAAAAAGAAAAAGTGGTCCAACAAACTTTTAAGAATGCTACATTTTTTTTTTTTTTTTTTTTTTGAAGGTTACAACATGTAACATTTATGTTTTTCAATACTTTTTTGTTAAATTTAATGTATTTTCAAATCTATATATCTTGTTGTCGAGTTTTTTAAAAGTGGTCTTCAAATTGATAATTAACCTTATTAAAATAAATAAGCAGAAGACATAAGTTAAAGAACTAGCAGATGAGGTTAATATAACTGCGGAAATGATACAGCCACCGAATGACGTGACAAAATCCTGACCGTCGATTAATATTAAGTTAAAATTAATCAACGGTCAGGATTTTGTCACGTTATTCAGTGTAAAAATTCGGTGCACTACTTCGATGACTGTAGCATTACTCAATATAACTGTTACGAAAAAAGGGAAAACTAGTATTGCAAATAAATAATGCAATTTAATTCTTTCGGGGACCCATTTTACTTCAAGTTTGATTAATGATCATCTAGTTTAGAAGAATGTTAGGCTTGGAAATAGTTTGTCTTTGAAATCAATAGCTTCTGTTTTTTTTGCTAAAATAGAAACTTAAGACAACTTATAAAATGAGCAAACAAACATCAATAGAAGCCTATAGGGCTACTTGTTGATGTGATCCCTCCAATGTTCAAGTAAATAGAGTTTATAAAAATATTGGTCTCACCTTTTAAGACTCGTTACATGTATAACTTTTGGAATTCGATACTTATTATGAAAAGTCATTTATGTAACATCCCGTGGTACTAAATGAAATCGTTGATCCTATATTAGAAATGATCATATATTTAAAAAATCAAAAATCAAAATTTAAAACTAAAAATAAAAATTAGAGTTCTTTCCAAACATAATGTAAGCAAATTTAGCATCAAGAACTTTAAGTATAACATAAGAGACAACCAAATATTCTAAGACTAGAAATGATTATATATTATAAGAAAATGTTTGTCATTACCCGGACATAAAATTCTTTCTTGGGCTGGAATGGCAAACAACCAAAGAAATGAGTTAACAAATAGAAATTAAAGCCTTTATCACATGTTTAATTCCTCGTAATTAATTCATGAGGTGGAGGAGTGAGGGTAGCTCTTTTATTAGGTAAATGTCGTGTAGTCTTTTAACTAGGATTAGTATTTAGTCACATGCATTTTCATTCATAAAATAGTAAAATACATATATCTATCCATTTAAAATTCCAAATTTCCATAAAAAATAATATATATATATATCAATTAATTAGGCAAAAAATTAAACAAATGTATATAACATAATTTTATTAGAATGATAAAAAATATTTAGATATATAACATCAATGATACAATATCGTTCACAGTCAAATACGTTTTCAAGATTTGAATATGAATCTCATTCTTATCGACTCTTACCATCAAACTTAACCAACTACTATTACACAAATGGCCTCATACACAACCCTATTATCACAACCACTAAAAAAGAAACTCAAATTAGCCAATTAATTTCTCTATCTTTCTTAAACTCTAATTACTGAATCACTCTTGAGTCAAGATGAAGCTTCATAATAATAATGAGAAGATATTTTAGGTAACAATTGCTCGACACTCGCTTGATGCTCCGATGGTGATGGCTTCGGAGTTGGAGGGGCGCTTGGTGTCGGCCTCTTTCCATAATCAGTTACCATTGTGATTACCATTTTGCATGGAGTACTTCCTGCAACGCAAGGAGCTCCAGTTTCTGTCAGTTGGTCTGGTGATGATGATGGATTCGGTGGCGGTGGAGGCGATGGCAGGGTCTTTTGGTAACCGGTTGTCAGTTGATGGGGTGAGGGTGATGACTTTGGAGGTGGTGGTGGTGATCTTGAATGCCTTCCATAGTCAGTAATCATGGAGATTTTGTTTTGCCAGTCTATATAGGAAAAGAGAAAGATTAGATAAGCAAGTAATTCAAACATCTAAAATGTTTGATAATCAATTTCCAATATCAATAGGTTGATTGTTTCACTCTTGTATTTTCCAAAAGGAAAAAAAGAACTTTAAAAGCTTTTTTCCTGGATCCGAAAGATAGTATGCAGGTTTTCCCAGTAAACAAAAAGTGTATCATACTTGAATCTAACTGGGGTAGCAATAATAGAGAAACCGCATAGCATCGGAAAAAAGAGGAAATTCCAATTATAAGATACCCAATAAAACTGTCATTGGAATCGATATCTCATTCAAGATAATTATCAAACTCCTAGCTATGATATAGAGAAAAGAAAAATAGGAGAAGAGAGTGAGAAACTATATATACCAGCTTTTTTAATGTTAATTAAAAAAAGGAAAAAGAGTTGCTGAAACATGTATAAACAGTTGCTTCTTTGCATGCCTTTGTATTCCTTTGAAAATATAAAGTTAATTAACAAATCAGAATTTTCTACCAAATATACTAAAGGCTTAATTAACCTTAATTAATTACAGAAGCTTGCTTATAATCCATGGATGCATGTAAATTACCTGATAAGGTTCTTGCTTCTGCTGAAATGGCAAGGAAGGCAAGAAGTAGAGTGCTCATTATTGAAGTTGTCATGTTCTTCATCAATAATTCATAAACCAAAAGAGAGAGTGGAAGCCATTTATAGACATAAAAGTGCTTTGCGTAACGTAAATCATGACATCATGTCTCGCGTTGTTTTTCATTTTTATTTAACTATATATAAACTGGTAATTAATTAATCCAAATCGTCAAAATGGTCCAAGCAGAACTCACAGCCACTTGTTTCATTTCGTATCCAATAAGAGCTAGGTCTTTGGCGATTTTATGTTTTTCCCATCTGAACACAGCACATATAATTTGACTAGATCTGGTTGCTTGGGCTCTTGACGTGGGGGTCAATTGTATTTTGGCATGCAGACGACTGGACTTGCAAAATTCATGTAGAAGAAGACACCACACACAAGCAAACAAAACTGTACAACTAAGAATTGAGCTTGGGCTTGGATTTTTCTTTGTTATTTACTGCCTCTTAATTATCAAGAATTAGTTTTTATTTGTTTTCGTACACATGCATGTAGATATATTTGATATTACTATATTTCCTGTATCAATATTAGGGTTATGGTAATACGGTCAGCAGCAAATCAATTTTAATAAAATTACGAAAATTTAGTTTTTAAAATCATTAAAATAAGGGTTCATATATATTCTACCTACCAAAGTAATGCGTTTAAATTAAGCATTTGTTTATGTATACATCTATGGGATTTATGTATTTTCCTAGTCTTTTCTTTTGGGATTTTTTTTTTCTTCAATGTTCATGATTTTCTGATTTAATTAGAAAGCTGTCAAAGAACTCACATTCACATCTATTCTCTTCCTTCAGGACGATAAAAAGGAAATAAATAATGAGTGATGTGAAGCCACATCCACTCATAATTAAAAATTCTACTTTTAATATATTAAGTAGCAATAAAGTGTGTACAAAAAAATAGTGTCAAAAATTGGATCATACGCTAAATATATTTAAAAATTTAATAAGGTTAGGTCATATCAATATATTTGATTTAATTTTACAATATTATATTAAAGTCATCAATCTAACGGTATGAGTTATTTTTTGAAGAATAAATTTGATTTTTTTTATGCTTGCAAAAAAGTGATAAGTCATGATTGAGAATAAGACAAACTTAAGGGTAAAGTGTTTGCATTATGATAATAGGGGGGAATATATTGATAATGGATACAAGAAGTATTGTGTCAATAATTGGATTGAGATAGAGAAGACCAGCCTAGTGTAACGTCCAACCCAAAATTAGGAGGTCCATTGGGCCCAATCTATGACAAGAGGCTAGGATCCAAAAATTATCTAGGGAATATGCTGAGAAGCTTTAGAAATGCTCTAGAATATTCCTCACCCAACTAGACAGCAGAATAAGATTATGATTCTTATTCTAATATGATTAATCTTGGTCATCCAATCTATTGGATTTGTATGGATTTGGACCCTCAGATATAGTTATAAACTCCTATATAAAGCTAGCTAATGTTGGGTTATTTTGATTCCAAGCATTGTATTATTTTGAAAACAATAATAATACAAGAGAGTTTTCTCTCCCTCTCTTTCTTTTGGTATTCTTTAGATTTTCTTGAGATTTTTGTGTGTGTGTTTTCAGGCTTACTTAGAGTCAACCGCCACCATTTAGGCTCTAAAGTTGCACGATTCATTAAGGTCGTGACAGTTGGTATTAGAGCGAGGGTTCAGATCTCAAGAAAGGAGAACCATGGTTGATGAAAGTAAAGTGATTGATGCAAGTTTGGTGCAAGAAGAGACACAAGCAAGGGAAGAAACCCTGTGGCTGCTCGAGATCTCGCAATGCACAAGGATCCATGGAGATCAAAACGGTCAAGATGGAGCTAGTTTTAGCTGATGTTCTTGAAAAGCAAGATCACATAGAACAATTTGTGGAGGAAGTTGATGGTAAGATAGACATGCAGTTGGAAGAATTTTGCAAGCCCATACTCAATGCCATTAACATAAGTTTCACAGAATGGCATCGAGAAAACATAGATTTCAACAAAGCTTTTGAGAGAAAAATATATGAAACACTTGCCAAGCATTAGGAACAAGTTGATATTTCTTGATATCATTGATGAACAAAGATCTATATATACTGTTACAATACACTATAATTGTAGACACAATAAACTAATTTCCTATTTTTCAGATTTACATCCTAGTATAGTCTTGTACAACTCAACAAATCATGGTATAGATGGATATTATTATTTGTAATTGTTGATGCTAGATTCTAACACCAACTAATCGACACGTGCGCAACATTGATTGATCAAGAAACACACGTGATTATGGATAGAGAATACGAAATAAATGCAATGAGAGCTTTTAAAGTGGTTCGGATGCTAAGGTATCAAGTCCTACATACACTGATTTGTATTAATATGGTGGGTCAGGTCACAAAAGCGGACTGACTTACAAATGATTGGGGAAAGTAAATATACAGTTTCTAGAGAGAGAGAGAGTTCAAGTGTAAAAATAGCCGAATCCCCCTAATGAAGGGGTCTTCCTCTTTTTATATCAAGTTGAATGCGTGTAATCATCATTAAATCCTTGGATTGGTGTGAATGTTAGGACATAATCCGGCTTTACGTCTCATTGCCCATTTCCCAAGCTGATTTCACGCGATTTGGAGCAGGGAAACGGACACGTGGGAGCTCCACGGCGCTTGGCAGGCCTGACGTGCGCTTACCGTTCTGACGGGAGCAGGTCTCGCTTCATCACGTGACTCCACGTCAGCCCTTGATTTCCCAGGCATAACAGAAGTCCCCTAGTTTTTAAGGTTTGAGGATCGAACCTTGGAAACTAAGTCATGCTGCGATTGGAGGTTCTGGTCACTTCGACCTGAATGGGAGAAGCTCGGGACAGGGCCTTTGGCGAACACGACCTCGCACAATTCATTGCCTAAACGACCTAACAATCATCATCCTAGCGACCTGGCTTTCTTCGGACGTTCCTTTCCGTGCCTTAGGGTTGGAGATTCAATGAACCTATTTTTGCGCTGTCAGGCGCTCTGCACGTGTTAAAGCGTCTGGCAAGCGCATTAAATGCGTTGTGTGCTGACCCGGCATCGTTTTGACAGCATTAATTGCACGACGCATTTGAAACGACAACCCTCATCACGGCATTTAATGCGATGTGGGGCGCATTTTATGCGGGGAGAGAGAGAAAGCTGTCGTTTCGGTTCCGAGAGGTGGCAACCGTCGATTCGCAGTCCATATAAAAGCTCACATTTTTCAGATGACGCCACCAAAATCCTCTTTTGCCTCGAGTGACAAGCCTTTGCAAACCGGAAGTTCTTCTTTTCCGATTGGCGCCTCTCAAATATCTGAAACAAGATTCGGCCTTGGTCACGTGTCCCAGAAGGTAAGATCCTTTTTCTTCTTCCTTTTTGTTTGGTTGGTGGGCAATGGCGTTGGGTCTCCTGGTGTTTCACCAGAGGCACGACGCCGTCGTCGGATTCGAGCCGTGGATGTTGGCTCGAGTCACTGTTAGGGTTTACAGAATTTGTCCCATGCCGTCGCACGGGACAACATGCGAAGGCTAAAATGACCGTGTCTGTCGGTGTTGCAGACTCTGGAATGGAACCGTCAACGTCCAGACCCGAGGAAGCGTCCAGCTCGTCCTCGCGGGACGTTCCCGAGGACGCATCCCTTGACGTCTTCTCGGTTCGCACCCGAGAAGAGTTTGATAGGATTAAAAAGCAGTACGACGTCTGTGCAGAGGTGTTCCTTGACAACACCCGGTCGTCACGGCATCCTTCAGATGGCCTTGCTGCGATCTCCGAAGAGATCTTTAAGGGTAGGGGGATGATTCCCTTCCATCCTTTCATCAGGTCGGTCCTGGATCACTTCGGGATCGCACCGATGCAGCTGACGCCAAACGCGTATGTCATCGTCGTCGCGATGTACATCGCGTGCTGCGAGAGTGGCTTGGGCGAGCCAACGGCGGTGGAACTCGGTATCGCCTATTATCTTAAAAAGAGTAGGGACAAGGATTCGTATTACTTGTCCCGGCGACCTACCATCGCCGATGGGATACATAGCTATCCCAGTAACGCGGGGGCCTACGAGATAAAATTCTTCTTTTTCTACTATGACGGCTACTGCCGCTTTCAGAAACCAAGTAGGTTCTTCTTCGCTAGGTTCATTGTCTGTTTGCATGCTTTATAACAACGACCTGCTTTCTTCTTTTGCAGTTAATAGAACGACCAGCCAAGACCTGCTTGACAACCCGGATAGGCTCATGTCTTTTAGAGTTCTTCCTGAGGAAAGCCGGGACGCGAGGAAGCTCATGACAACCGCGAACTTGCGAAAGTACGGTTTTATTAGCAACAACGCGTCTTTAGAGCCCCTATAAGGTAAGTTACATTGATTTCCTTCTGGTCGCAGAATAATTTTGTTTACTAATGTACTTGCATGCAGCAACTATGCCTCTGAAGGAGTCCGAGCAGCCTCGCCGAGCACCGTTCATCTTCCCTCGATCGAGAAGAGAGAGAGCAGTTGAAGCTGCTCGTCCCATTCCGGCATAACTGGTGAGAACAGCCGCGTCTTTCCAGCCCCGTCCTGTGCAAGAAGTGACCAGGACAGAACAGGTCGCACAGGCACCACCTGCTCGCCCAAGGCGGAAGGCTCTGGCCCAGAGGTCAAAGAAGAGGAAGCAGATTTAGGTCGACGAGTCAGAGAACGAATTTGAGGTAGAACCTTTGAGGTCGCGACAGGACTCAAGGAGGTTGGGCAAGGAACCCGTGAGTGAGGCGATCACTGCCGACAAGGCGAAGGACGCACCAGTGCTGGACTCATTGGGGAGTCTGCCCGAATACCTGTAGCCGATAGTCTATTCTCTGCTCGAGTGTGGACTATCGAAGTCGTATGATGAGTTCGTTTATATGGGTGACGACCTGATGACCACGTCGTTCCAACATCTAAGCAAGGTAAGCGAACTGCTCTTAAAGTAGCCCGTCTTGGTTCTAATTCTTTATTCTAACACTTCTTGTTCGCAGGCCTTGCTTGCGATGAG